TGATGGTGCCAACTTGGGCCAGTGAAGCAACGTCCTCCACAACTAGACTGAAGAACAAAAGCACAGCAACTTGTCTGTTCCCCTTACCCCAATTCCCCAGCGCTATTCTCATCCCCCAATTCCCCAATAAAAAAATCTTAAAAATAAATAAACAAACAAACGTAAAAAAATGTCTCCAGACATTTCCAAATGTGCCCTGTGGGGCAAAATGCTCCCAACTGAGAACCACTGTTTTATAAAAAAACTATTTTGCTCTTTATAATACGCAATATTAATTCTTATATTCTAGAAAAATGAGACTGATGAATTTTTGTTTCAGTCATAGGTGATAAATTGTACTTATATTTTAACCCAAATTTTAAATGTAATTTTTCCTTTACCAACTGAAAAATTGTGTTATTAATTTAACCTGATATGTAAATATTACTTTTTCACACTATTACTACAAATTACATTTGCCTACAATGGTTTTAAAAACAGAAAATGCACAGAATGGAAATCCAAATAAGGCGGTATGGTAGAAGTCCACATGTACCTCACTGCTCTAGTAACGTATATAATTTTCAAATGGAAAAATAAATTATTTACAAATATGTGACCTACTGAAACTCACTCCCACTCCAGTCTTACCATGTTTATAGTACTAATTAATTTTGTATTTGAGTTTAATTAAGGCAAAAAGAAACCTACTCTCTAAAATCAGTGCCAACTTCATTCCCAGCCCCACAGCTACAGCACCCCTATTCTGCACAACCAGCCTCTTCAGTGAATAAAAAGTCTTTAGAAACACAAGCTCATGGGTAGTTTCTATGTTGCCAGGTTTAGTATTTAAATTCCGAACCAGAAAGCATACTTTAAAAAAAAAAATTTTTTTTGGTGGGCAAAAAAAAAATTTGGTGTTTCAGCTAGCTTATTAGCTAGCATCAGAAGGGCTTTGATATTTTAGTAGTTGTTGCTATTGTAGTTTCTGGATTCAAAAAATGTGTATTCAAGCCAGGGACTTTTTATCCATTTCCCCACACCACACTAAAACAATAACAGAAAGTAAGTGCCTGCCATTTACACAACACTAAATTTAAATTAAGTCTTTCTTGAATTACCAAAAAAAACCTTATAATACATATTGGTTTCCTAAATTCACAACCAAGAAAGATGTGACTTAAAAATTACTACTGTAAAACCAAATTCAAATTATATAATCTTATTTATAAAGACTTCACAGTAATAAAACTATCATATAGTTTATAAACATCTAATACGTTAATTTAAAATTCAAGCTCTTTCTAGGCGAAAGAAAATTCCAACATCAAAGATGATTTATTTACACCTACAACACCAATGGCTCTTTAGTAGCTGTCCAATAACTCAAAATACATAAAATTAGAGAAAAAAGCAAAAATAATGTAAGATTTCTCTTCTCAAATATGTATCTATAAAATTTTTAAATTACTACAAACAGGCTGGTCCATCAATTCAGCCCTCAGAAATTTAAGTCCTTATTAAACTTCCTCAGATAGGAATGTCATTTGGACAAAATTGCAACATTCTGCCTAATGTAAATTTGATAAAATTTGACTTATTCCAAATAATCTTGCATTAGGCTGAACAAATGTAATTCTAATATCTTTTTTAAGTAACAAGGTGATAGTTAACTACAACAAAGGAAGCCATCCTTCACACCACCCATATACATTCTCAACTGAAATTCCAATGATAGTAAAATATTTATTTCCCTTTAATAAGAATATACTCTAAATTAAGCATAAATATACACATAGAATGATAAACATGCATTGTAAAATCTTCAAAGATCCACATTAAGGTTAATAAACAAGACTAAACAATTTCTAGTATACTGGTTCTCTTATAAGAAAAATAAAATAAAATAGATGCCTCTGAGGGTCACAAATCAGGAAAAATCTTGACCCACATGATGCATATTCCCTTTCCTTGAGATCTATGTTCCCCCTTCCCTCAAATTCCCCAGTATGATTTTGGGTGAACCCAATTGGGCTCCCAACCGCATGGGGTCCTACCATAGTAGAAAATCAGCTCCTATCTCCACTTGGGGTTATGCCTAGAATATTGAGGGATCACAGAAAAACAAGGAATTCTTCAAGTTGTCTTTTGTCAAATTTTTCTTTTTCAATCAGAAGTGCCTTAGGTGAATATTAAATTTCAAGAATGAAAACAAGCTATCTCCTGATATACAAGTACCATTTCTAGGACATTAATTTTTACTTAAAATATTTTTCAAGCTTAGTTTTGTTACCTCTGCTTCTACATCCACATTTTGCTTCAACAGTAACTTCAAAATGTCAACATGTCCATTCTGACTAGCCGCTTGCATAGCTGTGTGACCAGCACATTGTCCATTCACCTAAATTAAAAAAAAAAGGTGAAGGAATGTCACAAATCAGAAAGAGCCAATATATACATATAGTGTAGGTTTAACTTTAGCACACTCTATGATTTTATGAAAATAATTTAGATTGGTGTTCCATATATTCTAGAACACATCACCAGAAATTGTTTTCTCTAATTTAAAGAAGGGATGCAGGCATTTTCTTTAAAAAAAAAACAAAGTCCCATTGTCCAAAGAGCTATGAAAGAACTGTTTAGCAATCTGGAAAGTTAAAAAAAGAAAGGGAGAGAAGGAGGGAACAAAGGGAAGTTGAAAGTTAGTTACATTAATTTTGTATATTTACTTCTATTTGTATTGTTAAATCTCAGGAGTGATTCTAAGGAGTGATTTCCAACATTTTCTTTACTTCAGATGTCGTGTAAAAGTATAACTTACCCATAAACATACCCAAGGCTTATTCCTTAATCCCACCACATTCACTCCCATCCATAAAACCATGAAAGATAGTTAAAGGTGGTAGCCTAACCACGTTTATATCCTATCCCTCCTAAGACTACGCTAAAAAGACAGTAAAATAATTTAAAATGTAAAAAAACATAAAGACAAAGAGAAAAGGAGAGCTAACATCAGAAAATGAGAAAAGCAATACATTTTTTAAAAAGAAAAAGCAGACAGGAAAGTTTTAGTTGACTTCATTGAGAAGAAGACAAAGCCTGGGAACCCAAGACAAACTCAAAACCTGCAAATGCAAGCACATCAGAGGAGCTCCAAGTATATGTCTGATGTGCAGTGGCCACACTCCAAGCCCACCCCTCAAACTCAAGGACAGAGCATATTAGCAGCCATGCATCTAGGCCCTAGATGAAAAAAGGTTTCTTCCTTCAAACAACTGAATAGCCATAGAAAGCGACCCCTCTACATGATGGCATCTGGAGATCCCCAAAAGCTCCCCACACACAATCTCCATAATGCAAAGTCAGTCACCAATTCCTGTCCAGGTAAAGAGAGCTACCCAATCAGCTTTTCAATGTCTTATTCAGATATGAATAGACAACCAAGGATCAGAGATTTGAGGAAAACCAAAAAATACCAAATACCAAAAAAAAAAAAAAGAAAGAAAAGACAAAATAAAATAATTCAAAGAAACGATGACGGCGCTGGTGATGGCATAGGCTGCAGTGGAGCTGCAGTGGGCTCCCGTAAGCTACCATGAGTGGCTGGCAGCCGGTATGAGCGGCCAAGAGTCCCCATGAGCAGCAGTCCAATGGCCGGCAAC